CACTGAGCTTCATCTGGCGCCGATGAGGAAGTCGCTGCCTTATGAGGCCTTTTTCAGGATGATACAATTGTGTTCCGCATCGCTGATCACGCTGGTTATCTATGATCGTCTCTTCGTCTGGTGGCGCGAAGACGTTGCGGTATCGCGCGTGTGCGATATGCCTTCCCTACGCCGTCTTCACGTCTACGGAAATATGCTTGCAGTCTCTGAGCTTCTGCTCACGATCTCAGCTCCGGATCTGGAAGAAATCGCCATTGCCCCATTCGTCGGGGATGATCTCGTCCCGCTGGAAGAAGACATCCAGCGCAAGAAATCTCCCCGCTTTCCGAAGCTGAAAACACTCACACTAACGCTCAGTCCGGCCTCAGGCGTGATAGAATTATCCCTCGATCAAGCTGAATTTTGCTTTCCTGGGATCGAAACCCTCGTTCTTCCCAATCATTACTGGCGAGATGTGTTACATGGCATGACCTCCAGAGGGGGTATCCATTCCATGGTACCTCGCTGGCCTCAGCTGGATAGCATCGCAGTTCGGGCCCTTGACGACGACTTCGACATGCTTCATCAATTTATTTCAGACCGCCAGCAAGCTGGCGCACCCATCCGGACGTTGTATTTGGACGCAGAATCGGTTAAGAAATTGGTTCATTGCGAAGATTTGAAGGAGATGGTCTCTATCGTAGAGGCGGATCCTTGGCTGGCCCAACAGAGCGCTGCGTTTTATTCTGAGCAGAAATTGCGGTTCCTTGGTGATCACTAGACTCTCCCAACTTCGCAACATCATCTAGACTGGATGCGGTTTGTACGAGTGAAAAATTTAGGTTGGTGGAGAAGGCGGAGGCCGCGGAGGACGAGGACGTTATCCGCACTTAGAACCTTGCTCTAACTGAGAAACTAGTCTCTTCCTTAGTTATCATAAATGATAGTCGCGACAGTGCGGTGCGATGAACAGTTACTCAGATTCCTCCAGTGTTTTTACATTTTAAATTTTACATCATACCCTCCAAGTCTATACTTTTCCATTCTTCAATTTATTCCCCCCTTAAACCAACTTCAACACATCGCCCAAAACTCCCATAGCAGTAACCGCCGCACCCGCACCAGCACCCTGGATGATCAATGGTCTAGGGCTATACCTCTCCGTATGGAACATGATAATATTATCGGACCCGCCAAGAGACGTCGCGAATGGGTGGGTAGTAGGGTACCTTCATAACACACACACATTAGCACTCATCCCCTTACTCTCTCATAACAAAAGAACAACGGCTTACTTCTCCAACCCAGCTCTCACCTCCCCCCCTTTCACATCCACAACGCCCACAAACCTAAGCACCTTCCCCTCCTTACTCGCTTCTTCCCTCAACTTGGCGAACTGCGCGTCATGCGCAGGTAGACGGGCGAGGAACTCGTCGCCTGTGGGTATCCCTTCTAATTCGGGGGGGATGAGTGAGGCTGTTTTGACGGATTTGAAGGATTGGAGTGGTGGCAAGGTGGAGGGAGAGGAGGTGGGGAAAGAGGATATGATGCGCGAGAGGATGGTCAGTTTACGTGCTACGTCGAACCCGTTTAGGTCGTCTGCTGGGTGTGGTTCCTGTAAGTCGTAAGATTGTCATTGTAAAAGGTAAGAGGGAAGGAAGGGAATAAACATACCGTATACCCCTTCTCCCTCGCAACACCAACAACAGCAGAAAACGCCGGTCCACCTTCACGTCCCGTCGAAAACTCATTGAAAATATAACTCATCGTCCCAGAAAAAACGCCCTCGATCTTGATGATCTTATCCCCCGTCCCAAGTAATTCCTTCAACGTCGATATAACAGGCAGCCCAGCACCAACGGTCGCTTCATTCAAGTACCGCCCCCCACCCTGACTACTACTTGCTTCCAAGATATCTTTCCAGAGCTGTACGTCCCCAGAATACGCCTTTTTATTGGGGGTGACGACGTTGATGCCTG